TTGAGTGAGCAGACGGCCACGTTTTTCCTGTTTTTCCTGGAGGCCCTGGTCTCGGAGATCTTGCGCCCTGCAGAGATTAGTGCCCAGGGTTTAGGGTTGCAGGGTTTAGGGTTGCAGGGTTTGGGGTTTGGGGTTCAGGGTTTGGGGTTTAGGTTGTAGGGTTTAGGGTTCAGGGTTGTAGGGTTTAGGGTTCAGGGTGTAGGATTGCAGGGTTTAGGGTCCAGCGTGTAGGGTTCAGGGTTCAGGGTTGTAGGGTTTAGGGTTCAGCGTGTAGGGTTCGGGATTTAGGATTCTAGGTTGTAGGGTTCAGGGTTTAGGGTTGTAGGGTTTAGGGTTCAGGGTTTGGGGTTGTAGGGTTTAGGGTGTAGGGTTGTAGGGTTTAGGGTTCAGGGTTGTAGGGTTTAGGTTCAGGGTGTAGGATTGTAGGGTTTAGGGTTGTAGGCTTGTAGGGTTTAGGGTCCAGGGTGTAGGGTTCAGGGTTCAGGGTTCAGGGTTGCAAGGGTTTAGGGTTCAGGATGTAGGGTTTAGGGTTTAGGGTTCTAGGGTGTAGGGTTCAGGGTTTAGGGTTGTAGGGTTTAGGGTTCAGGGTGTAGGGTTCAGGGTTTAGGGTTGTAGGGTTTAGGGTTGTAGGGTTTAGGGTTCAGGGCTTAGGGTTCAGGGTTCAGGGTGTAGGGTTCAGGGTGTAGGGTTTAGGGTTCAGGGTTTAGGCTTATAGCTTTTAGGCTTGTAGGGTTTAGTGTTCAGGGTTTAGGGCCTAGGATCCAGACTTACCTCGATTCTTTGGGGCTTGGTTTCATGCAGCTTTCGTGTTGCAAGGTGCTTTAGGAGGTAATTCAGGCTCTAGAGGTTTCGAGTTTGGGGTGTTAGTTTTTGTTTGGACTCTTTAGGCTTCTCAGGTTTTGGGTGTAAGGCCGTGGGGGCACAGGGGATCCCGTAAATCCCGAACCCCAGAGCAGAAGAAGGTATTGCTGAAATCACCAGGGCACTCCGAAGTAAAGTGTTAAGGTTTAGTGTTCAATATAGGGGCCTAAAAATTGCCAATATTATTTTGCGGGTTCCTTATTATAATTATAGTAGAATGGGCCCGAAAACACTATTCTAATCATTGAGGCTCCTATATTAGGGTATCCCTTATAGTAACCCTTATAGAACCCCTTTAAAGGAACCCCCGATTCTAATCATTGAGGCTCCTATGTTAGGGTATCCCAACATGGGAGTTCGTAGGGTTTCTGTTGATAGTGCTTGGGCTGACGGTGCAGGGTTTGGGAATGGCATACATCTAGGGACTTGACAGGTTACTATGTAGAAAACACGCATATATATACATATACATATACATATACATATACATATATATATATATGTATGTATGTATGTATGTATGTATGTATGTATGTATGTATGTATGTATGTATGTATGCTCGTATGTATGTATATGTATATATATATGTACTCATAGACACACACACACACCCACCCTTATACGTGTGTCCATACGCATGTTACGTGCGTGTACGTATGTATGTATGTATGTATGTATGTATGTATGTATGTATGCATGTCTGTATGTATGTATATATATATATATGCACATACATACATGCATGCATACATACATACATACATCCATGCATGCATACATACATACACACACATACATACATCTATCTATATATATATATATATGTATGTGTGTGCAGGTGTATGCACACATGTACACATGTGTATAGAGTCCTCCTCCCTGTTCTTACACCGCAGATCTTGCAACCCCCAAGCCCCAAAGGTCATCTCTTGAAGTCCAGAAATGCTGAAGGTTCAACTCCTGCAGCACAATACCTCAGCGTCACAAGAGAGGTTGTGCTTTCTGAAGGGAGCTACAGTCAAGATTTGGGAGAGCAACCCTCAGCCCTAAATCCATGGCCCTCAGGCCCTAGCCCCCAAACCCGCCCAAAACCCAAACCGTCACCCTTTGGGCTTACGCCTCTACTATAAGGTACCTGGATCGCCTTCAGCCTGAGCACACCACGGAGAGGGTGGCGGAGATCATCATGAACTTCGAAGCTACAAAGCGTGGTAAAAAAGGACGCGGGCTCTTGGGCTTAGGGTTTAAGACGTATAGGGTTTCTGAAGTATAGGGTTGAGGGTTTTGGGTTAAAGAAGTAACCCTCAACCCTACACCCCAAACCCCAAACCCTAAACCCTAAACCCCCAAACCCCTAAACCCGAAACCCAAGCCTCCCGGGCTTTAAGACTAGAGAGCGTAGGGCTGACGCAGAGATCACCGGGCCTTCTCCTTTGCGGCTTCTGGTTTTGAGTCGTTGTTGCAGGAGTTTGGTTGTGCAGCTTGAGGGTTTATGGTGAGTGTTTAGGGTTTAGGGTTTAGTGGTTTGGGTTTAGGGTTTAGGGTTTAGGGTGAGGGTTTAGACTCAGACCTTATGCCTTGTCTAACCTTTCTGGCTTAGGTTTTATACATTGAAGAGAATAAACTTACTCTGCACTTGGGGGCTTCTTGTGTGCAGGGCCTGTGGCCCGAGCCAATCTGAGGGTTTAGGGTTTAGGGCTTAGGGCTGGGTTTAGGGTTTAGGGCTTAGGGCTCTAATCTCGGTTCTTGCCAACGAGTCTTGCCTTGTTCAGCAGGGTCGTTGGGCTCCCGGTGTTGCAGCTTTCCACGAACGCTGACCACGAAAGCTGCAACTGCAAGTCTTTGTTCAAATCGGTTACGGGTCCAGGGTTGGGTGTGCCGCTACCACTCGCCCTGAGGTCTGAAAAGTGTCTCAGCAAAGCCACATCATGCCGTTCTGAAGCCCGAAGCCGAGAACACCTGGTGAATATTCTAAGTGCTCAACCAAGTCCTGCTCGTCTCCGGACCTTCTCTTTGCACATCTCCGCATCGTCACCGCACCTTCCTCAAGCCAAGATGCTTACAGGCGGGTCACATTTAGGTTTCATGTAGGTCTGACGGTTTAGTCTAGTTATCTAGTACTGACTACGTGTAGTACATCTTGTTGCCTGAACCCTGATCTACACTTGCAGTCGAAACCCTGGATTCTGCACTGCAGGTGGAACCCTAAACCCTAAACCCTAAACCCAATCCCGCAGCCCTAAGCCGGAATCCGAAGCCAGTGTACCGAAACCTCACCAAAACTTCCACGCCGAAGTCCCGGTGAGGTACGGCGCGGATGGTGGATCAACGGAAGCGACGAAGGCCTGCGATGTTCGGTTTCGGCCAGAAGCTTCACGGACGAGGTTATATGGGGTTTAGGGTTGAGGGTTTAGGGGAGGGTTGAAATCTTCAGCGGTTCATCTTCTGATTAGTTACAGCTGTACATGGATGAAAGAACACGAACAGGTCGATGGATAAAGCAAGAAGTCAAGACATGTATGTAGAACTTCGTCTGCATGCGTATGTACATGCTTGTACATGTAAGCCAACGCCCAACGCATCTAGGCACACATGTGTGTATATGTATCTGTATACACATAATATATATATATATATATATACACATATGTATGTAAGTATGCATATACACACGTACACACACACACATACATGTAATACATATACGTGTACACATGTGTACGCATGTACGCATGTACGTATGCATGCATGCATGCATGCATGCATGCACGTGTGTGTATTTATGTACATATCTGTAGCTATCTGAATATGTGTTTATACATATACACATACATACATGCATGCGCACATGCATATTTACGATGCATGTATGTTTTTTTATATATATATATACACATGATGCATACAGAACGCATACATGCGTGCATACATACATTCATGCATGCGTACATACATTCATACATACATACATACATACATACATACATAAATACATACATACACTCGCACATACATGCATGCATACGCAATCATGCACGGGTACAGACACACACACACACATACACAATCACCTACATGCGTTCATGTGTGCATACATATATGTATAAACAAATAATTGAATAAGTATATGTATATATATATATACATGTGCACACACACACACACACAGCGACTGAATTACAGACGGTCAGACATATCGGATACATACACACCTGCGAAATACCTGCATATGTACAGAGAGAGAGAGAGAGAGAGAGAGCAAGAGAGAGAGAGAGAGAGAGAGCGACGCACACTCTCTCTCTCACACACACACAGACGTGCACATACACATTCATGCAGGCTTTCATGCATGCTGGCGTGCGTGCATGCATACATGCTTACATGCATGCATACATACATACATACGCACAGGCGTCCATGTTAGATCAGATTGTGCGGACATGTTGATGTTGTCCAGCTGTTTGTTTCGTGACTTACCTCGGTGTGTTGCCCAAGCCGTTGGTGCATGATATACTTTAGCACGGCATTCCTGCCTTTGATGACTTCAGAGACACACATGGGAACCAGAGTCCACTTTTAGACAAAGCCGCAGGACACCCACATTCTGCGACGGGCATGTAACCTTGAGCCATTTTTTGAGGCGAACTTGTTTAATGCCGGGGAATTCAGGAACCAGGCTCAGATCATGCGTCAATTTTCGCAGCCATTGGTCGGCTCGGAGGTCTGTAATGCAGCGGTGTCATGCAGCAAATCGCAAGACAACAGTTTCAAAGGCCAGCTTGAGACACGAAACATTGCACTCACCTGAACCGTGCTTCAGTGCTCCCTAGACTCTCAGATCCTTATAACACAGCTGACCCTAAGACGTGAACTCTGACCGCCGGACGTGAACCCTGACCTCGTACCCATTTCAGCCTCACACTTGGGTGCACGATTTCTCTTTGTGTGGAGCTTGGCAGCAATTGTAAGATGCAAAGTCAGATCAATCACATCAACATCCTGACGCAGGGGCTCTTTGGAAGCCTAGATTGGACAGCCCTTGACACCCTATGAGAGGCTATGAAACGGTAAGGAAAGCCCGAGTTTGCATAGCAGAATTTTGCGTGGGGGCGGCGCCATGCAACAACCTCCGCAAGACATGTGGACTGCGGTGTCGCCGCCTCAGCCGAGCCGGTGGAGGTAAACTATACACTGTAGACACGTGGGAGTTTCCGAAAATTGGGGGCACCTTATTTTGGGGTTCTTTTAATAAGGATCCTACTATTCAGGGTACTTTATTAGGGTCCCCTATTTTCGGAAACCACCACATGTAGATCGGGTCTACTCCAAAGCCCCGTTGATGCGCTGTTCTTGCTACCGAAGAACTCAGAATCGACATGCGTGTTTTCAACTTTCGGAAGCCTGACCACGTAGACCATTAGGTCAGGTTCTAGCAAACTGTCTCAACACTCAAATGTAGATCCTGGTATCCTTGACACGCCCGATTTCCTGAAAACAGCTTTATACAACGTGTCCCACACCTGGGAGGGGTGATTGCAGTTCACTGGTGCTTTGCGCGTCTCTAGGTTGCCCCTCAATGCAGCCCGAAAAAGTCCAGCCGCGTCCAGTTTGGTCTTTGTGTGGCTCAGCTTGTCTAGTTTCCGGACTTTCGCTGTCGATACGACGGTTAGTACGACGACGACGACTATATCTGCTACTGCTAGTTCTACTTCTACTGTTATTGCCACTGCTGCTGCGAAAACTAGTGCTGCTGCTGCTACTGCTGCTACTGCTGCTACTACTACTACTACTTCTACTGCTGCTACTACTACTACTACTACTACTACTACTACTGGCACTACTACTACTGGCACTACTACTACTGGCACTACTACTACTACTACTACTACTACTACTACTACTACCACTACTAGAACTACCACTACTAGAACGAACTACCACTACTGGAACTACTACTACTACTACTACTACGACGACGACGACGACGAAGACGACGACGACGACGACGACGACGACGACGACTACTACTACTACTACTACTACTACTCGTACTACTGGTACTGCAGGTGCTACTGCTCCTGCTTCTGCTACTGCTACTAGTGGTACTGTTACTGCTACTGCTACTGCTA